CATAGACTGTAATAATATACACTATTCCACGGGCAAAGATCAACCTACAACAAATACTCGTTTCTTCTTCTTCGATCACAGAAACACTGTGTTAAAGTAAACAATACTTGCTTGACTGAACAGAGAAACATTTAAGCGGAAAAATTAACCTTCCCTTCATTGCCTCCATCCAAAAAAAACAAAGTTACAAATAAATCTAGTGAACTTATTCGTCACATTTTTCTATAAATGTTCTTCAAAAAAGAATTATGCCTCATTAATAATGGTAGGGAAATGGAATAGTGTCTAAACTCCCCCTACCACCACCACCAACACCACAACCACTATTCTCAACACACGTCAGTCACCCACACCCATATCTTCGTTTGATTTGAAGTGGTGGTGGTTTTTTATCCCCTCTCTTCTATTTTTTTCTCCATCTTCTTTATACTTCACTGAACAATGGATAGATTTACCTGTTTTCGCGATGTCAGCTATCATCATCGTTATCATCATCATGCTGATTAATTAACACTCATTTGCACTAAAAAAATGAAACCAACAACACAACAATGTGATAAGTTGACATAGTGCAAATAAATAAAGTGTATTCTGAGAGAAGTAAAATTTAATGATACATTTTATGATCAGCATTAATATCATTCTTATTGTGTTGATGAAGCCTACTGACCTCATTCAACCTCCCATCTAACCCCACCCACCCGACGCTCATTCAATTATTCACAAACTCCCACCCATATCCACACACACATCAACGCACATACACATAAAAATTAGAGAAGATAACTTAATTAAAGAACAGTTTTCTAACAGATGCTTAAGCAAGCAGGTTGAAAACACTTTATGATAAGATAGAGGAGAGGAGAGGAGAAGGAGTGTGTGTGTGTGCGGAGGGGTGGAGAAGGAGAAACTTAAACCCTACTTGTTTGTATGTGTATGTAAGGCAAATGGGAAATGGAATTCACAAAATTGTGTAAATTACTTTGCATGAACAAGTAAGTAAGTACACTTCCATTTTTATTGTGTGAAAATGTCTATTTGTAGAAAAAGAGAGAGAGAGGCAAATAAGGTGTAATATATACAGAAGTATATAAAACACAATTTATACAATAAGGTTATTATGAATAGTAATAATAATTATTATTATTATTATTGAAAGGATAGATGTATGCATTTCAGGTACAGTAGGATGACAGGATCTTAATACACAGGTGTCTGTTTGTATGTGCGAAGGCAAACTCTTTTGTCTGAGGTTAGTTCAACTGTGGGTTGGTTAGTGGTGGTCTGGTTGGTTGGTGGTTAAAATACGAAACAGTGTAAACTATCTGGGGGTTCACTTTGATCCAAAAAAAGTATCCCAAATGAAACGACTTAACTGACGTACACACACACACACAAAAAGTAGATTAACCTAAAAACTTTTCTCTTAAAAATTCCATTTTGATCATGTTTGATGAATATGTGTCAAATGAGTTTATTTTTTTTAAAATGTTTTGGTTGAATCTCTAAAAAAACTAAAATGGATTATTTTTAGAGGCTATAAATGAGGTATTAATCCGTAAACAGTTTGTTATTCTGTCTAGTTTGAGAAAACACGATTCACACATTTCCATTTGATGACATTTGTCATACATCATCTGGTGACGAGCATATCGTCATTCTAAAAGCTTTAAAGATATATATATATATATATGAATTCGTCAGGTATGGAATCCAGTATGTCTGACAGTTGAAGATAATCGGTAGGAAGTCATGGACCTAAGTTTTCTGCTTGTTATTACTCACTAGTCAGATGGAATTGATGTCCCCTCAAGGATTTGAATCTGAATCTAGTTCTGTGTTCTGTTCAGACTGAATGCCTATCAGTCAAAATTTGCAATATGGCCAAGCAACAAGTAAGTTAGGTGACTCGCCATCACATTGTACTCTGAATTGTCGATGATGATTAGATGATTGAAGGCGATCAGCAAAAAGCCCTGAACCTAGCTAGGTTGTATCCTTGTCAGCAAGGCTTGCTAGCAAACGTGTAAGCGAACCTAACCACTACTCAATTATTAGTCATTTCTAGAGTATTTTTTGAAGCAATAGGGTAATTTGAATCCCGCATTAAATAAGTTTGTCTGATATGACGCATTATTATTATTCTCCTTTAATTCCTAGAGGAATATTGGGCTTCAGCCGTGCGTCTCCATTGCGTTCGGTTCTCTGCTAGAGTCTTCACCTGCCTCCATGTCTGCCCACACGTTTTCATCTCCTCTTCATATGACCTCCTCCAAGTCACCCTTGCACTGACGACCAACTCGCCGCTTCCCTTTCGAGTTCCATTCGAGCAATGGCCTCTCTAGTGATGTCACTTGATGGTTTCCTCAGAGTAAGGCTAGCCAATCCATCTCCATTTCTTCCTGCCTATTTGTTTCACAATCGGCTCTTGGTTGGTTGGCTCATTGCCAGAGATCTCTGTTGCTGATCTTTTCTGGTCGGCCATCTGATCTTGAGTAGTATTGAGCGAAGACAGCTAGCTGTTAATGAAGGTGTGTAATTTGTTTGAGATGCTCTTTATGACGCGCTCGTCAAGTCTCTGATCCGTATAGTAGCACTGACTTCATATTCGAGTTGAAAATCCGGATTTTATTTTTGATGCTGAGTGCTGAGTGTTGGTCTCCACACAGACTTGAGAGTAGTGAAAGCTTGTCTTGCTTTTCCGATTCTTGCTTTGATATCTTCGTCAGTTCCGTCTGTCTGTGGTTGAAGCGATGCTTCACAGGTAGATAAAAGAGGTTGTTTTTTTAGGTTCCTTCCATTTATGCCTAATTGTTGTCTGTTGTTGCTGCTGTTGGTAGTGTTGCCCAGGAATCTTCATCACCTCTGTGTTCTCTGTGTTCACTTGAAGTCCGATCTTCTTTGGATGGTTCTTCTGCCAACTTGTTGCTTTTCGCTTGCATATCTTCCAGTTTGTTGGAAATCAGACATATATCATCGGCGAAGTCCAGATCCCCCAAGTTTTTTGTGTGAGTTCATTTTATTCCTGTTTCCTCATTGCCCGCTGTTTGTCTCATTATCCAATCTACTGCAATCAGGAATATAACTGGCGATAGTAGGCAGCCTTGTCTTACTCCTGTCCTCACTTCGAAGGATTCCGTAAGTTTCCCGTTGTAGATTACTTGATATGACACATAATGATATACTATTACTAACTGGATGAAGTTTCGAGCACAAATAATTGCGACTTCTATTTACGGTAACGTATTTACACAATTTCCTAAATTGATTTGTACAGTCCCATTGTAATGTCTCACATATATCCGGTAAATGTGTTGAGCCACTTCTGTTTCATGTGTTCGATGCTGATTCTCTGGCACTTTCAACCTGTTAATTTGATACACAACACTTTGGTGCCTGAAATGATGGGTACTGAGTTCGAATTTCAGTAGGAACACACGTCCAGTTGACGAGCTCCAAGTGGCATGAAATGCGAGGTGTTGATTACAACACTAGTCACCACCATACAAGTAATTTATGAAAATTACTATACTATGCGAACAGCCAAAAAAACTATTCGAAGACAGATAGACAGGTAATCAGAGATATTGACAGTGATTTAACCGAGATTAGTTGTTTATTTTTGGCCAGTAGTCAGATATCCAAAAGAATCAGATTTCTACACAATGTTCGCTCTATAATAAATAGTAATTCTCCAATAGTTTTACATCATACCTTTGAGAATTTTGTTTCATGTCACCTTACAGATAGATACTTAGAAATCTCATTATACGTTTTAGTGATTATTGGACGTAAAAAATGAGACTGAATGGCTAGGAGTTTTCTAAGTTGTCAGGTGAGAGTTTTATTTGATTTCGCTGGTGGCTAAAAGCCCAGGTTCCTCACTCAATCTGGAATTTGTCAGCTGGAGGTGCTCTTATTCAGGTGAATAATGATATACCCAACCCCTTGAGATCTAAAAGCAGTACCAACGATTTCAAAAAAAAAATTTAGATTTTTCAGACGAATTAAGAAATCGTTGATATCAGATGGTTGGAAGCAATCGTCAGGAAGCCCCGTTAGACCAAGGCTTCGTGATAGTTGGCACACACTAAAGGAACAACTTATGTCCCTTCTGGAATTTGAATCTGTGTCACCCAATGCTGATTTCAGCCAGAGACGTTATCATTGAGGTATTAGGACTTGCGTTTGACCTGCCCCAATCAAAGGATTCAGAAATCATAATTTAGTAACAATTAGTGGTCGAGAATGATGCATCACATTGACAACGGCGTGACTTATTTAGATGTAGTTACATCCATACGTCACTGGAAAAATCAGATGACCACAATTTAGAAATGGGGAAAATGTTTAGGCGTCTGTCTCAGCTGTCTATACGCTTAAAGTGAGATAGGCTTCAAATCGTTTTTAGGAATGAGTTTCTCATAAATCCAGTGACAGAACACATAATTAAAAGATTTCATCATGAGCTGACATCAGCTGGAGAACCATTGGAAAATCAGGGAGTACTGGACAGCCATTTCGTCCTAGTTTGGGAGTCTTCAGCAGTAAACACCCCCGGGGTTCGAACCCAGTACCTTCTGGTTACAAGGCGAGCTCGTGAAAAATTAAGCCACTGGGACCCGATCCAATGGCCAGAAGGTCCTGACTGAAGAGTCCTAAACTAGGACGAAACGGCTGTCCAGTACTCCCTGATTTTCCACTGGTTCTCCAACTGATATCAGCTCATGACTAAATCCTCCAACCAATCAAACAAAATCCCTACAAAACCAACACATACTTAAAAGCTTTCAAAAAAGATGCTGGCTGGTAAAAATCATTATGATAAATGGAAATCCAGTACAGCTTCTCTTTTAAACAGCATCATAATTAGCATTTTAGTTCAATATTGAAGAGAAGACTGAAAATGCTCTCCTTCTTGTCCAAATATTTACAATTTTATTGAAGTACTGACCAATTTATCTGATCTGATTGTTCCTTTGTTTTTTATCATTTTACAGACATGTGACTACGATAAGAAACACAGTCATCTTTGGGAGTATGAAGAATCAAAATATCACCTAGGAGAGAAGCAAGGACAACAACAATTCTATCCACTTCACAATACCTCTACTACTACTACTAATACCGCTGGTAGTCTTCAAATTGGAAAATTGGAAATACTAGGAAAAAGTTATACTACTGATAACCATCAAACTACAGAATATAAAGATGATAATGTGATGAGAACAGGCGATTCTTTCGAGGCTAAATCGTCATCGGCTTCATCAACAATATCATCTTATTATCAGAATCATATAGCCTATAGTCAATTGCCGCCTAATAGTAATATCCTTAAACAGTCTAACCAAGAACACATATCAAACTCATCTGTTTACTTCAACCCCAATGAGTTCGGTTATTTCAGACAGACAGAATCATCAGAGAAGAATACTCTTGTAAAATCAACAACATCCCAACCCATGTCGCCGCCTTCATCAGTATCGTTGTGTGCACAAACAGAATGTCAGGTAGACAATAATAAATCTAATCAAGATAGTAAAAATAATAATAAAATAATAATATACCTTCATTGTTAATAATGACAAGGTGTCGCATTCTCTTAGTAAAGCAGAAGAGAGTCCAATGGAATTTACAAATTATACTCCATATCTTAACAAGTTATTTACAGCTAAAATGTTATTCAATAATTCTACAGATCAATCAAAACATCAACAAAATTTCCCTGTTAATGGTGATACACCAAATTACACAGTGAATACAGATCATGCTACTGATAATAGCTCATATATAAATCGTACTACTATAGACTTGAACTCTGTTCCCTCTGGATTTTCAGGTATGATAAATACCACTGCTACTACTGTTGAACCTTGTATCAGTAGTAGTAGTAGTAGTAATAATAGACTCACTAGTACTGACAATCAGAATTATAGTTCTTTCATCATAGATTATGAGAAATTCCAGCCAAATGATCATAAACTTTTATCTGAGGTGGGAAAGAAATTAAACGGTCTAGAAGATATCATCCATCGGGACAGTCTAAAAATGCCGGGGAATGATGCATCCTTCTCAGCATCGGTGTCACCTCCATCTATACCTCCATCTATATTATCTTGTGAAAACAGCATAACTCATTCCGTTGAACAGAATTTATCTGGTAAGCTAAAAGCTTCACAGCTGCTAGTAAATGAAATTAAAAATCCAAACATTACAGTTTCATGTAATAATGCTGTATTGTCTACAGCAACACCTTCAACAGCCAGTGCTTATTCACAAATTTTGGCTTCACAACATCATAGACAACAATCATATTTACGAGCAAATCCTCATGAAATGTTAAGTGGTCATCATCAACGGTTTCTTACTCAAAGTAACTGTCCCACTGGCAATAATAATAACAATAATAATAATAATCCTTATCCACTTTCGAGAGACGTACCACAACAACCAGTTTGGCGTAGACCCAGTCACCGTCCTGGTCATCTTCATTCACACCCTCCAGTTTATCTACCCAATGGACATTTAAGATCTATAAATCAACATGGTCCAAGTCATATGGGAAGTTCACATCAGCACGGGTAAGCAATAATATGCTTATCATTTCTTTTTATTCTTTGTGATAAAGTTATCTAATAATCCCAATGCATATTTTGTCGGAAACTGAAGCGCATTGAATACCAAGAAGCAATTTACAGCTGTTACAGCGTTCAAGTTTAGGACTGTTCAGTGCACCCATAATGATCTAACTTGCTCCTCGTAATTCTAAGGTCTTAGGGTCATGGATGCATGCTCAAGAGACTGGAACCAGGACAAAAAAGAGCTGTCTCCATGTGATTTCATTTCGTGACGACAACTACTTTGAAATTAATCGAAATCCATGCTAAACACAAAACTCGTAAGGAAAAAAAATACCGCTGACCTTAATAAAACTACTTCTGAAGTCAGTATTCTCAGAAATTTTTCAAATACTGGAAGTAGTTCTGCAGAATATCTATATAAACATACTGATTCACAATAAAAATATTAAGATAAAACTTAAGTTGAATATTTTTCAAAGGCAACAGCCAAATCAATAGACATATCATTCACCTGTGATCTAACAGTGATTTCCGTATACAACTGGAATGTGCCACTGAAAATAGTATTTCCAATATTAAGGGATTTCCTGAATGATGATCAGATAGTGGGATAAAAACACTAATCGCGGTAGAATTGGAATCGGACAACCTTAATGAAGAATCCAAAACTAGGCTGACGAAACAGCTGTCCAGTACTCCCAAAGGACTTTCCAATGGTTCTCTAGCTGACGTCAGCTCACGATGAAATCCTACAATCAATCAAACAAAATCCCTACAAAACCATTATTTGAAAACCTTGGATCACCAACTCACCATTTCACATTTCATTTTTAAAGAAGCTAGGTAACTTGACACTGAGATGCACCTGAAATTGAGGTGAGTCAGTTGGAAGCAGTCGAGAGGAAACCCTCGAGCTAGGGGTATCGTACCCCTTCAATGGAACTGGTATCTCTTCTGAGATTCAAGCCAACATCATGCAGCAATGCAGTCGCAGATATTATGAACAAGTTATTCAGACTGATGATTGAGCTCTTGTAGGGATATGATGGGGTAAAAACTGTCATGTGTGCAGTCCTTGGTGTCCTGATTTTGACTGGGCTTTATCAGTGAAGTTTGCAAAGTGATCAGTGTGCTAGGTGGCTATCCATTTGAAACAGTGTTAGATAGTTAACTGGTAGATGGTGACTAGCAGTGGGATCCAAGAGGTGGCTCTCGTGGCCCAGGTGGTTTAGTGGATAACGCTTCAGCTGGCGTTTGAAACTATGAGCACTGGGTTCCAGCCTCGGTGGGAACATCACCACTCACTGTGGAATGCAGGTTCATCCAGCTGGAGACGAGTCCCAAATAGGACGACATGCGCTTTATCCTGGATTCCACTGCTAGTCACCATCCACCAAGTAACTTCGAATTACATTCCCGGACATCGTAGAAGCATCTGCACAAGAAGCCGACATGTCGACCTGGGACTGAGCACTTCGGTCCAATCAACCAATCGATGGGAAAATCTAAAATTGAATTAAAGTGTTAGATAGGAGTTTATAAATCACCTGCAATCACCAAAAATCAAAGTGTTTGTATAAAATCTAACTGGTGTCTTTTAAGGGTTACACTTTCAGATCATAACAACTGTATCTTTGATCTTTAGATTCGCATATGGTTTGGATGGTACAAGAAGAAAGAATGCTACAAGAGAAAGTACTACAACACTGAAAGTCTGGTTACAAGAACACATGAAAAATCCTTATCCTACTAAAGGTGAAAAAATAATGCTTGCAATCATCACGAAAATGACGTTAACTCAAGTGAGTTGAATTTTCAATGAAAATAGAAGACAATTTTGACTTTTATGTACTGGTTTTCAGAGAATTGATTGATTTCAAGTTTGATGAAGGACTGGGTTCGGTTAGGCAACAACTGAAAACCAGGAAGTACCTCAGAGGTACATACACACGGTACCTCCAGGGATTGAACTCAGAATCTATGGGTTGTAAGGCGAGCCACTTGAACGATGGCGTCGTATATCATGATTTAGTAGAGGCTAGAATAGATGAGTCATTGAATTCTGTCTCAGTTTTCAGATGGTCAGGGAGCTCGCCTTGTAACCTGCAGTCTTGAGTTCAGAACCCAGTGGGATCATGGGTGCGTTGTGACGAAACGTCTCAAATGAGGACGAAACGGTCGGCTACCCAGTACTTACTGGGTCTTTTATTAGTCCCTCAAATGAAGCCAATTCATGATGGAAATTGAGAATTTGTTTTCCTCTGAGTTACTCCTCTCGATAAGCCAGTTCATTTCCTTAGTAGACTATAATGCAAAAATGCGAGGAAATAAAAGACGTGAAGTATACATCCCAATGCTACATAAGATTTGTAGGGCAGGTATGTGTATTTAGTATTTTCACGTCCCTTGAGTTAGATTTTGTAGGTGCGAAACTAACATTGCATTTTTTCACAAAATACTCACCGCTAACTTTATTGTCTGGTAAGGTGAAAATCTTCATGAATGAAATATCTACCTATTTTGAGAAGCTTCACCATAAGCGCGTCAGCGGTGCAGAAGTAGAATGCTCGCCAGCCACTCAGGTCGTACGGGGTTCGATCCCTGCCGATGCACTCCTAAACCTTGCTTAGCTGGCATTAAGTCAATCAAAGAAGGATTGGGCATGAGACTAGGAATCCCACCCCGTAGAAACCAAACCACTGCTACCGAAACTTCAGAGCTCTACCTTGAAACCCTATTTTCCACTAGAAACGCAAAGGAAAAAAACATCACAATGAGTGACATCACACGCCAAGTAGGTAGCCAAGTGGAAACTGAATGGGAAACGACGAGTTGGGCATAAGTCTGACGATGACATGAAGGAGATTGTGTTCATGGGAAATGACAGCTAATTAGCAATTGCAGAACCAGTAGAAAAAACTGCTGAGGCCCTGTGTTTCACTCGTAGCCCAAAGGAATAATAATGATGATAATCATCACCGTGACTGGTAATCTCTAGAAACTTTCTTGATATAGTATCCATTTGTATTAATTCCTGATAACCGTCAAATGGAACTGCGATGATTTAACTTTTCGTGATGTAACTCAATCCTTGTGTAACCGGATTTTTAGTGAAGGGAGGAAGGTAGGTGGTTAAGTTTCTTCTTTGAAGTAAACTGCTTCGCGTCTCCAGTTTCTGTCTTCTTTTTAGACTCTACTTCTATTTGCGAATTTCTTTATTTTCGTAGTTATTAACTGGATCACTTTTCACATAACCTCTTCTTTTCTCTAGGTATCTACTTGGTTTGCAAATGCTAGAAGACGTTTGAAAAAGGAGAATAAAATGATTTGGCCACCGAAATCAACTGGTAGTGGAAGTATGGAGCAAAAAAGTCCAACAAATCCTAATTCATCAAATGAATCAGGTATAAATTGTACTAATACTGCAAAATCAACAGATGAACAAATAGATTCACTGAAAAGGATTCACAGCGATGACAACACCAAAGGAAAAAATCGTAACCGATTGGAGACAGATGATGGAGATGGATATGATGATAGACGGACAACTTCTATTGGAGATGATGAGACAAACGATGATCGTCTGACAGATGAGGATGATAATGATAATGAAGATGATGACGAAAATGGCGACTTCGATGAAGATGACGCAGAGGAGCAGGAAGGCGAGGAGGAGGGGGAGGAAGCTATCGGTAATGATATCAGTGATACATTGTATAGGCGTAAGGAATTTGAACAAAATGAGCTAAGCATATCTCATTATAATCACCTACCTCATTCATCTTTTATGTCTCATATTCACAAAGATATCTCATCGTATGAACAACAAACAAGAAACTATTCAAATATTTTCTCAAACAGTTTAAGTTCTGATTTTTCAGAAAATTCTGGAAAATATGATCAATTCAGATCTGAAGACTTACCATTTAATCATGCTGGCAATCAGTTGAATTCACATCTTACATCTTCTTCACAAACCTTCCCACAATATGTCAATCTACCGAATAATCAATTCGCTGGTATTAGTCATATTCCTCCGACAACTATCAGTCAAACGCCAGGTTATTTTAATTCAATGCATGATTTTTGCACAGTTAACAAATACTTTCCTTTTAAAACGGATAATCTCACTACTCCAGCTAATACTACTACTACTACTACTAGTACTACTTCTGTCAGTAATGACGACAGAACAGTAAACTCTCAATTTCATAAATCTACTACCTCAATGTTATATCCTACAGGTCGAACTCATTCGGATGGAGGTGATTTTGTCATGAAATCGTTTAATTCATCAAATAGTGATTTCGATGTAGCACTGAATTCTTCAATGAAACAGCGTGAACTATCCAACTCGCCTGTTCACTATTTAAGTACACTACATTCAGATTGTTCCAATAATGCCAATGTGTCTATCTCTCAACGCTCCAACTTCCATTCACCACCACACAACAGTACATTACTCTCTGATCAGCACCGTCAGCATCATGAACATTCGGATAATTATACACCGTCTACAGATTGTGCCACGTTTTTAAGAACAAAGCCATTTATTGATAATATCATGTTGAACACAAACTATTTACAATCGAACTTTTGTTGAATACCCTATTTTTTTCTTTAGTAATTAAGCCAGTAAATATATGTTTACAAATATACAGCAAGGAGGGTGAGAGAGGGGGTTGAGGGAACAAATATGTCACCTAACAAGGTAGATATCTTCTTTGTTGATTATGATACACTGATATTTGTGTTTCTCTTGTATTTGTGTTTCCTCCTTATATTATTATTATTTTTAGGACCTAGTTAATCTTTAACTGTATGCATTTTGTAAGATTACTAGTAATTTGACAAGTCAACACTGACGATAAATTTCGCACATTTAAACAACAACAATAATGTTCAAGTGTTAAGTAGTTGACTATCTGCATGACGAATGGATAGATGCATGCAGATTTTGTATAAATTTAGTTTTACCGCGTAATTATTCTTATTATTTAAATTCTGTTCAATTGTCAATATTATCTATAATTCTTGTTAACTTTATTATGAGTAATAAATCATCAATATATATATAAACATAATACCAGTATAAGACTGAGAAAATATACTTTATAAAAACTGAATTTGTTTCTATTTTAAATATTTTTATTCAACAAACCGAAAGCTATTTGAACATTATGAATTTGGATAAAGAAAGGAAGACGAAATTTTCGCAGTGTAAAATGATATCATTCTATTTCACAGGTTCTCATCAGCTGCAGACTACCTGAAATTACAATGGTTATATAAATGATAATAACATACTTTAATGTTTGAGTGGTAGTAGAGAAGAGATAAAATTGACGCATCCAAAATGAAAGCATTACAATTTTTAGTTTAAGTTTTCATCATCAATTTATACGCTTTTAAAGTTGAAAAGAGGAGGTAGGGGTAAGACAGAAAATAGAAAAAATTGATTAACAGAAACAGTGTTAGCTTGTAGGTTCACATAGCAACTCCAACAAAAAACAAAGGCGATTACAGTTTATGAGATTAAGATTTGTTCAGTGAGTTGAGATCACTGAATTAGATGACTAATTATTGTAATCAAAATCAAAATTCAGTTACCAAGGGAGTGAGAGGTTAATCACACTCTCTTTCTGTATGCATAAGTCTGGTTTAAATCGTTTGATTGCGATCGCTTCGGCAAATCGTAGTAAATTTGCTGTCCTTTGTCTATTTAATATTTTGAAGGACTTAGAAATCTCTACGAGATGTCCGGTATCAACAATATGTCTGGTAATTGCACTCTGAGAATATTTGCTTCCTTTCAGGCATAGGTTTCTTGGAATATGTTCAGAAAACCGGATAGAAGCCCTTCTTTCTGTCCTTCCAATGTACTTGCTCCCGCAAGTGCACGTAAATTCATAAACGCAGTTGGAGGTGACATCAGCAGGGTATTTATCCAGTTTTGAGTGGATTATAGAAGGAGTGGTGAACTGTTATGAGTTTTGCTGCTGGGAAGCTTCTATTTATTGCTCCTTTCAGTCTTCTGTCAATCTTTTGTGACACTGCATCTCCTTTGAATGGGAGACAAATAAACATTTTTTTCTTTTCTACAGTTGGATGCTTTTCCTTCTTATCTTTTTCTCTGCTATACTTCTGTATAAATCCCTTAGGGTATCCATTTTCCCCCAGGCATTTCTCGATGAAATCTAGTTCTTCTTAGACCTTGTTTGGTGAACATAGCTTCCTGAATCTACCGTAAAAAGTCCTCACTAATCCATGTTTATAGCTTATGGGACAAAAGCAGTTACAGTGAAGATATTGTCCAGTCCAGGTTTCTTTTGTCTATAGATAGACTTTTCGATCATGCCTCCGTTTGTTCTTTTTCATTTAGATCCAGGAAATTGAACTCATTTTTATGTTCATATTCCATGGTGAATTTGATATTTGGATGGATCTCATTTAGGCGATCATATAATGCCGATGAATTTGATGGTGTGTGTAACGACCGAAACCAACTCGTTGTAGTCTGAACATACACAGGAGCGATCTCTGAGTCCTAATGTATAGCTGATCATCACTTCCTTGGGACACATGTACAGTCACACAAAATTATCCGATGCCAGCAAAAAAGACGATTATTCGTAGATAGATCTATATGAGGATCTATTCAACAACAATACTAGCATTAAAAAAGTAGAAATTGCCTCAACAATGTCGTTGGTCAGCTATACAGGCTGTATAATATTCGAATACAAAACTAGCGCTGTAGAAACAGCTGTCCGGTACTGCCCGCTGATTTTCCAGTGGTGTTTTAACTGATGTTAGCTCATGATGAAATCCTCCAACAAATCAAACAAAAAATCCCAACAAAACCAATACTTGAAAATTAATCTAACGCTCACTAGCGACTGGCCCTATTCAGGCAGGGTTACCTGGGGTTCTAATAGGAAGCCATGACTAGTAGGGTGTAGCAGGTTGAAGATGAGGCAATAACTCATCAACTAAAACATTACGAATTGGTCGCGCTATATGATGAATTGGTAGAAGTCAGAATTCATAGGCTGACCATTGGATCAGGTGGGTCCCAGTAGCTTAATGGTCTACGAGTTCGCTAGCCTTGCAACCAGAAGGTCCTGGGCTCGAATCCTGGTGGTGGGTTCGTACTGATGAAGTGTCCCAAACTAGTCTGATGAGACAGCTATCCAGTACTCCCTGGTTGGTTTTCCAATGGTTCTCTAACTGATGTCAGCTCATGATGAAGTCCTCCAACAAATCGAACAAAATACCTAAAAAAACAATGCTAGAAAAAAATTAGTTAACCAAGATGCAACTGTTGTTAAAAGTATCTCAGAATCCAGTAGAATATTCTCAATAAGGTGGAATTCAAAACTCTGTCCTCAAGATTCATGCCCCAAACTATTCCCCCAAGAGAGTCCAAGTTCAGAATGAACGTTATACAACACACTATTAACTATCATCACACTATCATAAAGAAAAGCATTTAAAAAAATTAGGGAATAAATAGGAACAAAGATAAAATAAAAAATCAAGTCCGCATATGATATGATATGCAAATGTCAGAACAATAATACACAGTCTAGGAGAATAACAGGTAATAATTACAAAGTTAGTTAAAATGTTCAAATAAGTATCAGTATTGTAATTAGATGATTCAAGAGGGATTGCATCAACTTTACACTGACATGGTACACGTAGGCATGACTTCTCACTTCTATATCCATTTTTGGCAAACTCACCTGCATAATGAAGATAAAATGGCCAATCGTCCAGAAAGAATAAGCAACAAGAAACTCTCCAGTGGAACAAACCAACCAAGAAAGAGCCTATCGGTCAATAAATATGTAGGGGGGAGAATGGAGATGGGTGTGTGAGGCTGTCGAATTACATCACGCCTATGCCCTCGAGTGATATCTAAATGGGAAGCGACGACATGGACGTCACTTCATGGGTGATATGAAGCAGAACGTGTAGGGAGGAGGATATGAGAGATTATGGGTAATCGTGGACCCAGCTGAAGAGGATAGCAGAAAATAGAACAATGGGGAGATGTGCTGTTGAAGCCCTATTTCCCACTTGGAACCCAAGGGAATAATATTAAATAATAATAATAATAGTAATCCATTTAGGATCTGGAGATTTATATTCAGATATCCGTTCATGACTAAATCTACGATGAAACCAATCAGTGTAGAACACACACTGAAATACAAATTCTTTACTGAATAATGAATGATGAAATCCTGTAACCAATCAAATCCTTGGAAATGAATGATATAATTATCGCACTAAGAATATGGCTAAATTCTCATCGGCCAAGAATGCTACAGACAGATACTGCAAAGGAAACATTTCAAACTGAAGTATAAATCTTCATGGCATATTATCCTTATACGTCTAAATTACATTAGAGATGGATACCGAATTTTTTTTACATCACATTAGAGTCATTTGAAAATCACCAAGCTAAATTTTGCAAATCAAAATTTAATAAAACTGACTAGCTACTTGCCATCAGTATACCGTTAAAAAACTACTTATTCCATATATATTTGATAATTTTAGCTGGGGGTAGGGGGTGGGTTAAAAAACATTTGTTGCCATGCTGACTTGCCTTTTTCATCTTCTTCTCGCCCAACGTTTTCCAAGTGAGTTATTCCTGTATTAGATGATATCAAAGTTGATCTCTCTCTCTCTGCAGTTTATGCTTTAGTCCCTTTGACATCCAGATAAATCTGAAAAAGACAATTGCAGCGAAGAAAATTTTCTTTTCGACGAAGTCATCATCTAGGCTGTACATTTGTGTATTTATATCAAATGAATGGGAAAGTTCCAGAATAATTTCCGGTTAAGGGTCAAATTAATAAAAATTACAATTAGGAATTAGAATGCCATAATAAACAGGGGGACGGATAAAACTCGAACAAAGTAGCATTACAGTGACTAAGAAGATTGACATTGTGCAATTGGGGGTTAGAAATGTAGAAATAACAAAATATACAGGATGTTTGGATAAAAAACTAATATGATGAATAATTGTTTATGCAATCAGGGATTAAATATGTAGGAATAGTAAAATGACAAAATAAACAGGAAGTGTGGATATGAAAATATGGTAGTGTAGACAGGGATTCAGAAAAACTTAGAATAACATGAATAAACAGGAAGTTTAGATAAGAAAGGCGATGAGATTGTCATTACTAAAAAAATTTTTACCTGTTTATGATAGCCATAGCAGGGAGAGGGGTTGGACGTAATTCTTTTGGATACAAAGCGTGGGTTTGAGTTTTTGGATAGCTAACGCCTCAGCTATGCCCAGATGTCTAGATTTGACTCCCTTTGATAGGTTTGATTGAATCTTGTATATTACTTTGAAGGATTTTTCGAAAGGCGCTGGATGTCCTGAGTTGACCAGATGTTCTGTCACTGAACTGTATACACGTTTTCGGTCTCCTTTTACTAGCCAAGCTGGGTAGTGTTCGCGAGCGCGTTTTCCAAGTCGGCGCATGGTACGGCCGATGTACTCAGCTCCACAAGAGCAAGTAAACTAGTATATGCACGTTGAGGTGGCCCAATGCAACGGCTTGTCTTTCA